TGAAGTTTTTTCAAACATTCAACATCACTTTTAAGATCTTTGTCACACATTACAGTAGAAAGTTTCATAATTTACGCATGTAATGGCATCATCTGTGTGAAACCAGAGCAAAAATTATCATCACTCCCTTGCTTAATTCTATATTCCCAGGGTTGAGTTATTTTTCAAACTCCAAACAGTCAATTTTATAAAAGTTTCATGAAACCAAAATGTGAAGTTGCCCAGCTCCACTTCTGAGAACTGATGTCCCATTCATAATCATCCCATTGAAAGCTCACTCTAAAGCCCAAAGGATTCCTCAAGTGCACCTTAGAGAGTCTATAAAAAGGAGAAACCCTGTAGGTGACCTCCTCAAACCACAGGCTAAGGAAGCTTGCAGAGGAATTTAAAGTTAGTGAATTTACAGGAGGCAGACTATGGAACTACCAATACTTCACTAACAATGTGGGATATTACTCAGAGTAAGTTTATTAAAGCATGCCTCTAATCTGAATGTAGTTTTATTTTGAGCATGCAGGGGAAGGTAAAAGACAGGACTATTTAACCCTAAAACAAGTGAAAATCATGCTCTTATGCTTTGGAAAATTAATGTAGAAATGTATATAAAGTCTTTATTGTAAAAGAAGAAAATTGATCTTCTACGACTTCTTCCTACAGAGCGAAAAAGCCTAGGGGAAAAAAAAAAAGGGTTTCCAAGATTTAACTGATAGAAAAGACAACACTAAAGATCTTGATTGTACAAAAATTTAAGTAATATTCAGGATGATATGCTAATCATTTCTGGTCCACCAGTTAAAGATAGAAGACAGCCTTATTAGGGTAGTATTTGGTTTAGAACTTTTGCAGGAAAAATAATTAGGAGCAATAATAATACGGAGAAAGATTAAATATAAACATCACATTAGTTCAGCAAGCTCTCTCACTACTAGATGCCAATAATAAACGTCAACAAGAGAGCTAAAATGAAGATACCCAAGGGAAGACTTGTTTGGGAAAGTCACATAAGTGGACATTTATTTGAGTTTGGTTCTTGACCATTTTCAGAAAGTTTGCAATAAATTCATTTATCCCATAAGTTCCACTAACAATTTATCAATTTGCATTTCTCTGGAACAATCCTAAATACTTAAATATCTCACTATATTCTATCAAGAAAAACACAACAGAATATTCACTAACATTTATTTTGACTTATTAGTACCCATGCCTTTCTGATTGGTAAATATATTAAACATTCATTACTCTTGCCTGAAAGTTAATTGAAATATATGTTGGAAGACAGGGAGTGTCTTCATTTCATCATAATATTGTCTACATTGCATTACATTATGTTGGCCACATTGACAAAAGGTATACGTAGGTAATTGTGGAGGTCAAGAAAGGAGTCTTCCACTGGAGAATCCAGAAGGAATGCTGATTCCTCTGCTATTTATTCAGTATTCCCTATTATTCTATGTCACATCTACATGTTGGATGGATACATGAATCTTTATCTTGTGTAGTATCCACCATTATACATCTCTGGCTGCCTCTCTGTTCCCCCAGGGAAACCACTCAATCAATTGTATGAAAGATGTCCTTTTTTCTTCCAACCCACCACTGACATGACATGACAGACACCAAGATAACTGTTGGTCATAACCATGGCATACTGTTCACCTATATAGAGAGCAGTAATAATAGGAGATAAGCAAGACTTTTGATTGAAAGGGAATTTCTTGAGGATAAGGATTTTGTGCTAATCCAAAGGTATAATGTCTCCTGTCAAATAGGAAAGATATATAATATATTGTGTTTTGAATTTTTCTAAAAGTTTTAATGCAAGCAATTTCACATTATTTCCTCTCTTCGCCTCAGTTCTCATGTCTGTCATGAACAGTGTATGATACCTAGGTAAAGGAAGACTTAAAGGTGCACTGGAAGATATGACTTCAGCTTGTACCAATTACAAAAATGATTCCTAATTTATATTATCCCATGCACCAGTAAATTTATAACCACTTTTACTTGTGTCATTATTTGCTACTCTTATTTGCTTTGAATGTGACTATAATTATACTGTCTTATATAGGAGTGAATACTCTTTTCTCTCACCCTGTGATATATCGAACTGATTTACACCATCTACAAAACTTAAAGCAAATATCAAATGCCTTCTTATACAACTACAAGCTCCCAAAAAGTACACACTCATACACATGTAGAGTACTAATAATTTGAAACAAATTCTTTAATGTGAAAGATTTATACCAGATAAACCACAACCAAGAAAATGACTTTTTACTTTAGCCTTAAAAGATGACATCTTGAGAGTCATACTCAAGGAAATCATTATCTCTTCCTCATATTTGAATGACACCTTGGTTGGGCCTAGACAGAAGTAGATTATGTTGTCTTATCCTCCCACTATTAAAGAAGCTATAGTACTTATGGTTTCCCATCACTCAAATAACAAGCTATGTTCTGTTCATCCAAATGTCTATTTTTTCAATCAAGGGAATAAAGTATAGCTAACCTCAGGTTTAAGAATTTCTACTGAAGACATTTCAAATCTGACAGGAAAATGTTGTCAGCTTCTCTCATGCTCATTTAAGCAACAGGATATTTGTATTGATAATTTTTATGTTAAATTCAGTTAATCCTTTTATATTAAGTCCCACTGCAGTTATTACAATAAGAGTAAATAAACAATTATGTAATGTAAAAAGTCCCTGAAGACAGAAGCTGTCTGTTTGTCCTCTAATATATTCCTGGCATCTACCAGAAGGTCTGGATCATAGTGATTACACAGTAATATGTGTTGGGTTATTGAATGAATTTTAATAAATTTAAAGCACCTTTAACTCACTTCAAGAAGGTGACTGTAAATGTCATCAAGTAGGTGTAATAAAATTTTGAAAACTCAATAAACAAAAATTATATTGAAACTTTTAAAAAACAGAAACTCATATATTAGTCATATTTCTCCTTTGGAGGCTAGCAGTTTATCTAGTTTTAAACCACCATTTTCTCTATGTTCCCGGTGAGAAATGTATACATGTTTTATATATGTATGTATACAGTACTGTATATATATTTTAGCTAGTGTTGAAAACAGGATAGTGTTCAATATTTATTAGTTAATAACTAACTTAAGAATTTGGAAAATTATCAGTATGATGCAAAGTATAAACTGTGAAATCATCTAGCATTTAATGTAATTCTTTGACACACTGTAAAATTTCTTAGTGATCACAGCTCAAAGAAGAAAATTTTTCTTACATATGTTTTTAAATTCAAAATGAGTATTAAGCCCTCTGAGGCATCAGGCATTGTTCTAGGTGCATAAAATAAATACCTTTAGCACTTTTATTTTAGTGGGAGGAAAGGAGAAAATAACAGGCAATAAACGAGGTGATGAGTGTTAAGAAGAAAAATAAGGCAGGACTACAAGGTCCAGAGAGTAAGCAGGAGATGGGCAAAGTATATTTTACAGGGTAGTTTTGTGTGCACAGGAGAATGAAGTTAACAAAGTCCTTTAAGCTAATGTTGTACACAGCAGATTATTGAACTCTACCAATCAAAAGAAAAGCAGGCATGAGAATAGCAGTGCTGTATGATACATTCGTTCATACTCCTTAGTTCTGGATAATGTCAATTATCATTGGTCTAAGCCAGGCTGAATCAAATAATGAAACCATAGATATTTATCCCCCCGTGAGAAGAATTATAAAATGCTATTGTGACTACATTGAAAGGAGCAGGTCACAGGTTCAACACTGCTAACTGCAGTAGTCATGAGGTGAAAGAGTTTATGCAGTATAAATGGGAATGTTTTACATAAATAATTTTTTTAAGTTGAAATTTAAACTTGAAGCCTGCCTTTAGTGCTATTATAAAACTGATTAGGTTTCGTTTATTTAAAAGATTTCTATACTGCTAAATAAAGTAACCCGTAGCGGTATGTGTGTTTGTGTGTGTGAAAGCTCTTCTCTGAACACCATCTTTAGCAGAGGTTGCCTCCTGGATATAAACTCTGCATTTTATCCATGTTCAACATGTTGAGATTTTTAAAATATTATTTATTAACTATTTACTAATGTTTATGCTTCCTGAAAAGTTGAAAAATGTAGCTGTGATAATCAAAATGTACTGTAACAGATGTCCCTTATTATTTAAATTTGCTTTTTAATATAGATAATTGACGACTCATTTTCCTTTGAGTTGGAAATACAGAAAAGCACTGTCAGTAAATCCAGGCCATTTTCATATTTCATCTTTCCTCACAATTTTCCTTTCAAAGTTCCTGGATTCTAACTTTATTCCATGAAGATTTTTTTAGGAATAGTTACCGTGATGAGTCATGGGCATCATTAGCTGCTGTTTTAAGCTTTTGCATGGTGAATGACATTATATTAACATTTTTTTGACTGGATCAAATATGGTAAATACAAGATTTTTATTTCTCCAGAATAATTATTCCAGTTTTGTTGTAGTCGTGATGCGGGCTTTCTCCATTGCATCAAAAAAGTAAAATAGGACATTCAAACTAACGTTTATATATGTGAACATTCACACCAACACATATGTACAAGTCTATGAAGTGGAGGAGAAAGGAATAAAAACCCCATCAACTTACTTAGTACCCAAAAGGTGGGAAATGACCATGCCTAGAATCAGCAGCACTCGGATTGGTCTCATAGGATCCAAACCACAATATGCCTCATAATGAGATCAAATTTGGGCCTATTTAGAATTCTCCGCCTGTGTCTGAGCTCGACCATCAGGTGTGTGTGGAAAAGAGGAATTACAATGACGATTCCAGTTGGAATATGAGATCTAAGAAGATGTTAAAAGAAATAATGAAAGAGAAGGATGACGGGAGACCTGAAGCCTGTGTGTGTAACGGCTCAAGGACATGCATTCAGTACCTTGTCACTGGCGGCCTTGGTTCTGTGACCCTATTAGCCACATATTTTCTGCCGGGTTGCAACAATGAACAGTAGACTTTTCATTTGAAGCACACTCCAAACCTTAATGATTCTCTTCTAAGAGCCCTTCTCTTAATTAATTCCACAACATTTGCTATAATTTAAAATGATTTTATCACTCGCTCTTTCAGTTATCATATCAAGTCACCCTGTGGACCAAAGACTCTGAGCTGCCGTGACTGGAAAACTGTTTTTAAAGCTGTGTTAAAACACCAGGCAGAAAAGTAGTACTGAAAGATGGAAACTGCCTCACTTATTTCTATATGTTTCTGTTGCTAAAGAAAACGTGAAAAATGTTAACAAAATGGGTTTTTTTCCAGGTACTTCAACATATTGGCACTAGCTAATGCTTTATGTTACTTTTTCTTCCAGGAACCTTGGCTGCCAAAGGGTAACCCTGCATAAGAACATGTTTCTGACTTACATTCTGAATTCCATCATTATCATCATCCACCTGGTTGAGGTAGTACCCAATGGAGAGCTTGTGCGAAGGGACCCGGTAAGCACAGCATGGTTTTGTTTCTACTTTTATTTTAAAGGATATGGTACGTAAATAGCAAATAGAGTGTTAATGTTTGACTTAAGCAGATGTTTACATGTGTAATCATATTTACTTCTATAGTCAAGTTTTACATTGACCAAGATGTATCATTCCTATGTAGTTCTTGGAAGTAATTGTTAAATGCTATCGTATAGGGCTTGGAATGATTGAATCCTAAGCAAATAAGAATCATACAACATATCATGAGTTTTTATGACTAATCAATAATTTATTAACATCTATGGTAAATGTACTGAGCATGTCTTGTGAACATTACCAGGGGCACTAAGGCAGCGCTTCCCAATGACCCTAGTGTACCACTCACGATTAGATACTGATCCCCTCATCATTCTGGTATCAGGTTGGGCTTGGCCCAGTCACCTCAGCTATGAGCAGCTATGCACTGACACTAATGAGCCATATAAATATTCTCGTGATCTATGTCTGCATGCTTTGAAAAAGGTTTTACTGAAATAAGGGAATACAAAAATTGGGGAGACAACAGGACATCCATGAAACTCATGCTCACATGCGCCATTGCAATAAGCAAATCTGGTGGGTATCCTCCTTCTATTTGAGTATTATAAAGAACAGGAGAGCTGAAATCATTTAGCTCCATTACTGAGAACCATTCTGAATTTCTTCTACCAGAATTGCCCTGACAGCTATTCAGAATAACTCAACATTGCCTTCCACCTTCTCTCGTTATTGCCAAGATAGTGTTTTTCACAGTGGTTTCCAAACCTGGCCATACTTGAAAATCAACTGGGGAAACTTGGTAAATATGAGATAGCTACTGCCCACGTGATGCTAGAGATTCAGTAGGTATGAGGTGGAGCCAAAGAATATATCCTGTGCTGCCACCCTTGGAAATCATTGGCCAACTTCTGGGTGAAGCAAACGAGCTGGCAAAGGAGGGCAGAGGAGAAGCACTCTGAGGCACTCTGAGGTTCATCCAAGTCAGTCCCTGATATTATAAACTAACAAAAATCAGAACTGAAATGGATTTGGAGGTCAGTTATTCCTTACTCCTTATTTTACAGAGCAGAAACTTGAGGATAAAAAGGGAAAGTGATTTGCCCCAAATCATATAACTGGTGGGAGAGGAGAACGAGGACTCAAATCCACATCTCCTTACTCTTAGTTTTGGTTCTTTTCTTTGCATTCCATGTTATATGTCTAATAACAAATCAGTGAGAAATTAATGACACTGAACTGGTTGATTAGGTTTCCAAATCTATCAGATTGATTTTTAAAAAATCAAATCACTTTGGTGCTTTGATACCAAGTAACCACTTACTTTACAGAGATTTTTATGTATCACCCCAGTGTTTAAATAATTTATAATTACAGTTTCTATTATTTAATAGTCATTTTTCCCTAAGTATTTTCATCTCAAAAAAATTCACAAATTTTTCTCTGCCAGCTCCTTTGCAAACCTGCCTTCCTTCATTTGAACAAGGCTTTTCCTTATTCATTTAATGGACAATTCCATTAAGTGATTTTAAAACTTTAATAATGTAATTATTTATTAGATCAAATATGAAATTGCAAATATTTGATCATTTGTGTTTTGCAAAATTGATGAATCCATGTGTTTCTTCCTAATACAAATGTGTGGCCAGTACACTGGGGTCTAGTAAGAGTGGGGACTATTACCACCCCTAGGCCTGAATGGACAAGTAGAAGGAAGACATAGGAACCTAAAGAGAGAGAGGTGGTGTGGTGAAGGCTGCCCTGCAGAAATTCAGGACTTCTGTCTTGGGACACAGCTAGCTTGCAGCAACCCCACAAAAGGAAGTGGGGAAATGAATATCCCTCATTCATTCACTCTCCTCTCCCAATCTCTGCCAATGGTCCCCATTAACTGAGTGCAACTGGAAACCAGAAGGCAAGCAAGCCCTGATGGAGACGTACAGATCCATTTCTGTGGGCCCAGGGCACTGGGAGCAGGGTGGAAAGTGCATCTGGAAGCACAGACAGAAGCTATCTAGCTCCCAGTGAATGGCCAAGGGAGATATTCATTTTTGTTTCTCTGCTTAATTGTGTTATGCAAGCATCTGTAGATAGCCTCATCTTTCAAAACTGGCATTTGACAGTTCTGCCAGCTCAATAACAAAAATGCGTGAAATCTGCCCAGAGCATGCATCCTGCGTGACAGTGGCATGGCATGGGAAAGCAGCTTAATTTGGCTTCTAATGGATTCACAGTGTTAGTAATTTTTACAGTATGAATGTATCCAGAAAGGCATTATGATCCATTGTTTAAAACCCTGGTATCTGTTATTGAAGACAAAGTCCTGTCTCACCCACCTGTAGAATAATGTGACCAAATGGGTTTAGCTTGATGAGTTTTATTTTTTAATGTCAGCTAATTTAAATAAAATTTGTCTCGTTTAATTTAATCTCCACAATCCCCCAGTGAAAGGTGGATATTATCCCCATTTTAAAGCTGAGGAAACTGAGGCTCGGTGAAGGCAAGTGTCCTCCATCCCATGAACACTTAAAGATGGGATTCAAGCACAGAAGCCAGACTCCCTCTTCTATACCACTTTGTACTCTTGATTGTCTTCATTTATTTCCTTAGGCAGATGTGTTCTTAAAGAAATGGGCTCAGTCATTTCGTAATTCCATAATTGGACACGCTCACTATAATTAATTAGAGAAGCTGTCCCCCACTGAGTTTAAGATAGATGTAAAAGCCATTAACTAAGCATCTCTCTACAGAGAATAGTCCAATTTTTGGCTTTCCATCTCCCATTAAGGGTACAAACCCTGAGAAAGCTAGTGTCTATAGGGAGCAGGCTTGGGAGTGGCACTTCGCTTTTTGAATAAGCAGCCACGTTGACCTGGGAGCATGCTCAGTCGAATTATGAAGTATTGTAAGTTCTTGAATAGACTTTTTCTTATCTCTCTTCTGGGGGTCTTGGACCCATATCTCATGCCTCCAGCCTGCCCCCCAGCTGGTAATGTAAAGGAGGCTTCTCATCCACTGTGAGATCTTGCTAAATCTGTTATCTTCCTGAAATAGTCTAAATTCAGGCTTTTTATGAGTTTGCTACTAAATTATAGAAGCCATTTAACTTTATGCATCAAATGAGAATAACAAAAACTGCCCTGCTTACTTCTAAGGGGCTGTCCTAGAGTGCCAAAGAGTAAAGCTTTTAAAAACTCCCAAGGGCATAATACCGCAAGTGATTGCTCCCAAGGGTTGCCGTCAACCCTTGACTTGTGGCTAGCTCCCTAGGTCTCTGTACTTGGACTTTTCCAACAAATCTGTTACTCTATTCATTACTCTGAACAATCGCATTCATTATCACTGCTGGATGTTTCCGCTTTCAAAGGAAGTAGACATGCCCAGCCCTCTGCCAGCCCCAGTACACAAGCTGTCCCCCAGCTACTGCCAAGTCTGCCCATATCTGCCTTGCAGCTCCTCTATGGCCTGGGAACTTTAAATAGATCCTGTAAGCAGATGTCCAAGGACCTGGCTCTGCCACTATGCACCTGATTTCCTGGGAGAATGTGAGTGTGAGCTTCAGGGAGCCAAAGAAATTAACAGGAAGCTTTCGTTTGGGTTTGGAGGAATGAGGCTGATTCTGCCACACACATTAGGCATTCTTAAAGTAAGTTTGAGATAAAGGAAAGAAGCTTATCTTTGTGGCATAACTAGCATCTGGTTCTCCAAATCAATATATTTTTAACCTAACGGATTGGATATTTTTAGCTATACAAGAGCAAACCCCCTAGGGAAAAACTATAAAACACTTGAAAGATAAAATCTCACCCAATCAATCAAGTATTTATCGACCACTCAAAATTCAAATTTTAGTCCTCAGGCTGAACTGAATTCATACTATTCTGGAAAAATATCTATTCATGACATTTTCTTCATCATCCCTAGCAATGAGCCAAGCCTCACATGGAAACAGCTTCCTGTGTCTTACAACCACAGATACTGGGTTTAGTCATTTTTTAACTATTTCAAACTATAGTGTTTTTTTTTTCATGGAAAACAGAGGAGCAAAAAATCAGAATATTTTTCTCTGTGTGCCTAAAAGAGGAGGCTCTTTTCCTCTGCGATTAGACAAAATAAAACAAGCCATGAATAATAAGCCACTTACAGCGGTAAATGAGGCAATGTCATAATGTGAGAACACATTGTGCCCTCTTCCACAATTTCAAACCTCTGGAAACACATGCCTGTCACCAAATACACATAAACAGTATAGACCGAAACCAAATAACTACAACGACAAAAATTAATTCGTGTTTGTAAATTGTGAAGCATACAATTCACCCAGAGGAAAGAAACTAGGCTTTTTTTTTTTTTTTAGTACTTTCTCTATTTGTACACAGTCATTGTTTTCCCATGAGGCATTTGTTAAATCTCTTATCAAACCCTCCATATACAACAACATAGGGCTGCTCTCTCTAGGTAAGCAAAATCAGTTCAAGAAAGGGCAGGAAAGAACTCTCAAGTAAACATATTTTATACGTTATTCATCCTTGAAAATGCTTAGGTACTGTCACCAAGAGAGACACACATGGCTAAATTTGTGTTGTGTCTCACCTTGACTAATGCATATTCTGTCATAAATGTATTCATAGAAGCCCAAATTCTTGAGTGCGTTTTCCCATTCAAAAGGTGATTACAGTTGAAACTGTAAATTCAGTTCTTAAGAAAGAAGAAATTTTCCCTGCTGTAATAGATTTAAATGCAGAGGGAATAAACGAGAACTAGGGAAGGTTTAGCTGCTATTTTGAAGCCCCATCTTTCCCAGGAATAGAATTCTCCACTTCTACAGAGACAGAGAAAATAGCACCCAAAGGCTGAGAATCATGTCATCAACATTACTAAGTCACATGCAAAATCATATATTTAAAATTACTTTAAATGAATTAGTTGAAATATTGCATTTTTCTTGAACAACTGACATTCCAGAAAACATTAGATTAAGG